TCTTTAATAATAACTACACATTATAGTCTCCTTTGCAGCTAGATGTAGCTAGGACACATTTTAAAAGTTCTGAGGAAATAATTCACCAAATTCAACTTATGCCTCATAGAATTCTGCATATTCTGCCTTACTTCCTGAGTTGTAACTGAATAATTTTTCCTTTTCTAAGAAATTCCTTTATCTCTACAGTAATTCCTATTAATAAGTGTAAGCCTTTTCTATATCAGTCACTCTTCTGTTGGGAAGTGTATCTGCCTAACTGTTAAAAATCTGGGCTTCAAATGCCCAAAAATAGATGACTGGATCAAGAAGATGTGGTACATATATACCATGGAATATTACTCAGCATTCAAAAAAGATAAACACATGCAATTTGCAGCAACATGGATGGCGCTGGAAGGGATCATGCTCAGCGAAATAAGCCAGAAAGAAAAAGAAAAATACCGGATGGTCTCACTCATAGCAGGAATCTAGAAAACTTAAATAAGGGACCAGGAAAATGAATAACTATAAGAAAGTGAAAATCAAAATCAACAAAAACTATGAACCAGAGACACTTTTTGGGGGGTGGGGGGCGGGAGGGGAGGGATTGGGGTCAGAATGAGGGGGTTGCAATTGTATGGGGAATATAAAAATAAAATTTATTATTTATAAAAATAAAAACAAAAAAAATAAAAATCTGGGCTTTGGAACTAGAGCGCAAATTCAAACTTTTAATTTACTAGCTGTGTGATATTATACAAATTATCTAGCATTTATGTTCCTCAGTTTTCTCATCTTATGACAGGGATAATAATAATACCTGTCTCGTAAGTTGTTGTGAGGATTAAATAAAATAAAGCAGGACCCAGTGAACACAAAATAATGGTGGTATATATGAGAACACACACCTTGTAAGAGCAGAGTCAGAATTCAAACCCAGGAAATACGACTCCAGAGCCTGTACTCTCATCCATAGCAGCATACTACCTTTTCAACTTTATATGCCAATTCAAACATATTATCTCACCTGATAATTAAAGCAGGTCTATGATGTGAACAAGGACAATTATCCCCACTTAAAGATGAAGAACAGAAAGGTTATATATCAAGAACTAGAGCTATAGTCAAACTTTCTGAGATTTACTACAGAATGAATAGTACCATCTATAATGCCCCAAATCCCAGTAATTTAAGCAAATATAGATGTGTTGAAAGGTCAGTCATCCCTATTTTATTTTTAAACATATAGCAGCAGCACAGGAAGACTAACAGGAAAGGATAAAGCATAAGCTGGAATTCAGTACCTAAACAATTCACTTCTTGGTGAATCAAGCGATTTTTTTTCCTGTAACCAACTAGACATAACCCAGGCAGAATGAAAACAAAATTCATATTGAAAAACACAGGACAGGGCCTCCCTGGTGGCGCAAGGGATTAAGACGCAACCTATGAAGCTGTCCGCACCCACTGCAGCACGAGTTCAATCCCCCACCAGGGAGCAACCCACATGGTGCAGCAGACCTCTCCTGACTCTCCCCACTGTCTCTGGTGAACCCTCTCACCCCCCACACCTCTGGCCTGTACCCCAGTTCTCATATGCATAAATAAATAAATCTTTTTAAAAAAGAAAAACACAGGACAGAAAAGAGGTTAAGTCTAACTTAATCTGGATCATGAGGCAATCCACACAGTTTAAAGACTAGATTTGTTGTTTTGGGGTTTTTTCTGCCTAGAAGAACTGGGGTGTAGGCCAGACGTACAGTGGGGTGAGGATTCATCAGAGACAGTGGGGAGAACAGGCAGATTTACTGAGATACACTGCTAAGCGGAGCAGTGGATGAGACAGGAGAAGTCTGCTACACTATATGTGGGTTAGCTTCCTGGCAAGGGATCCAACACAGGCCTTAGTGGTGACAGCACTGAGACTTAACCCCAAAACCACCATGGATGCCCCTAGATAATTTTTAGGAAGAACAAACAGGAAAATTCTTTTGAATTAATGAATATGGATTCCATGCATCTGACCCAACCCAGCTCTTATTCTTATCATTCCCCTTTAAAAATGTTTTTAAAGGCTCCATATCATCTATAATGATGGTTCTCCTGCTGGAAACACCTACAAGGGTGTACTTGGGACTAACGCTACAAGATAAACTTGGCATATCTTAGAATATCAAACATACTCAAAGATTTTCTGAGGGAACAGGGAATGGAAGACTAGGTAAGAGGGAGTTGTTATATAACCAACAAATAACTTAAAATATTTTGTACTGGAACAAATATATTATGTAGAAGGCAAACACAGCATGAATTTTAAGATAAAACACAAGATTACCAAAAATTCCTGTTCTAATGCAGGTATAAAAATATTCCCTTCCCTATCTCAGAGCAAATTTAGTTTTCTCTGCTGTTAGAAGTAAGAGTGGATGAAAGAGACACCTATAAAGTGTAAACACTTAGCAAGACATTCAAAATGTTTTATTAACTGGTTCCAACCTTCTTTTTTAGCCTCATTTCCCACTGTTTCTTTCTCCCTAAAGACATTATTTACCAGGTATGCTAAACTGAAGGTCCTTCTTGCACCCTACTGCTTAATGTACCCTAAAATTGTAACAGGTACCATCACACCTCCAAGTCTTTGTTTAAATTAGTCCTATTTGGCAAAATTTCATACATACTTCAAAATTTATTCCACCCTCACTAGTCTGCAGTGTCTTTCCTAATTGCCAAGGCAGAATTGATTCTCTCAGCACCTGAGAAATGAAACTATATAAATGAATATATTAACAACAGTTAATATATACCAAATTACTGTGTAGTATCACCTAAACTAGACATTTGATATATACTTGCAATAATCAAAAGTAAAATATATTTTGAAGGAAGGATTGACAAAATGTAGTTCTAACCAAATAGGACATGGGAGCTGATTTTTTTCTGAATTCCCAGTATGGAGCATAATGCCTGGCACTCTCCTAGAAGGGGCAAGTATACTTTAAAGGATTAACATTCACTAACATTTTGATACACATTATCCTTTTTAGCCCTCACTACAGTCTTTTAGAGCTGGTATAATAAATATCATTTTGTACATGAGAATACTGGAGCTCAGAAAGAATAAGACACCCAAATTCATTTAATTAGAATGTAACAGAATTGGGCACTGAACAAAGGAATTTAATTAAAAATATCATGGTCTTTTTTTTTAAAGATTTATTTATTTATGCATATAAGAACTGGGGTACAGGCCAGAGGTACAGGGTGTGAGAGGATTCACCAGAAACAGAGTGGGGAACAGAACAGGCACACTGACTGAAATACACTGCTGAGGGGAGCAGCAGATGAGTCAGGAGAGGTCTTCTGCACCATGTGGGTCACCTCCCTGGCCAGGGATGCTGCAGTGGCCACAGATAGCCTCACAATGCTGAGCGCATTAACCCCCAGCACCACCAGGGAAGCCCCTCGTGGTCTTTTTATTACCACCAGGTAAAGAAAGGAAAAGGGTAGAGGAGGGGAAGTTAAGAGAAAAACATAACTCAACCAGAGGGGGTGGGGGACTGTGAGTGTGTGAGTGTGTGTGTGTATGTGTGTGTTTGCATGCAGAAAGAAGAAAAGCACTATACACACATGGATTAAATGCTAACAACTGGGGATGCTACATGAAAAATCTTTATATTATTTTTGCAAATCTGAAATTGACAAAATAAAAATTCAGGGAAAAAAAGAGTGATTAATATTCTCATTTTCTTACTGACAAAACTGATACCAGGACTAGGTGAGGGATTATTTCCTCAGGGAAGTTTGTGAAGAAGAGTTTGCTTAAGCAAATGAAGGAACTGATGCTCTGGTAAAAGAAAGGAGCTAAACATACAGATTTAAAATCACCCTCTAGTAGTGACAGCTGAGTCATAAGAACAGAGAAACTCTCAGGGAGAAATCAAAAAGATAACTAAACCCTATAATTAACCATCACACATACAGCAGGCAAAATGACATGGTCCCTGAATAATGGTTTAAAAAAATATCCTATGGTAGGGGCCTCCCCGGTGGCACACCGGTTGAGCGCTGGGTTGCGAAGCTGCCCGCAGCCTCTGCAGCGCCGGTACGATCCCCGGGCTGCTCCCCAGCCACTGAAGGAGGGTCCCACATGGCACGCAGACCTCTCCTGCCGCCTGCTGATGCCCTCAGCAATGTGCTTCGGACCCTCTACCTGCTCTGCTACCCGCTCTGACTCTGGTGAATTCCCTCGCCCTCCCGCGCTTCTGACTGTACCCAGTGCTTGTATAAATAAATAAATAAATAAATAAATAAATAAATAAATAAATAAATAAATAAATAAATAAATAAATAAATGAATAAATAAATAAATAAATCGTAAAAAAAAAAAATCCTATGGTAAATGAGAAAAACAACTCCATTCTGAAAGAACAGTGCAGCCATTTATTAAATTGGGGTAGAGGGGGAGGGATTAACATGGTGTTTTCTAGAACAGGATATAATCCTGACATTGTGAATTCTTCAAATACATTTTATCCAGATTGGTCCTCTCAAATACTATTGGCACAATTCTTCTGGATTTTTAAAGACACCCCTAAATTTTCATCTAGTACTACTTCATCCACGAATTTACAAAAAAGAAAGGAGATATTAACAAAGGCTATTTACACAACGAAATTAAACAATTCTTTTGACCCCTCCCCAATAAATCTCACACACACAAATGCCTAAAATTGAGAGAAATGGTCAGAAAAATATGGCATATCAACTCTAGATGTTATGCAGCAATATATGTTTCTGAATAACTTTAATGTTATGGGAAAATAATAAAATATTGATCAAAGCTAAATTAAAAACTATATATGCAGCAGAAATTCAATTTTACATATATACAAGCATAAGAAATGATACTGCCTGAAAATTTATTTTAATAGATTACAAGGTACCTCTAAATTAAACAGTATGTATTGTGGTAAATCTATAGAAAAGATCAAGGGAAAGATTTAAAAATCAGAGCAGAGATCCTTTTGTGGCTCATAATCTAATGAATGGGTGTTCATGTCATAGTGTAAGATGTACCTACCTCAATCCTTGTTATGTCAGCACACTAATTGTATGACATGAGAAAAAATAAATCAGAGTGGAAATAAAAGAAATAGAGACTAAAAAGACAGTAGAGAAGATCAATGAAATCAAGAACTTGTTCTCTAAAAAGATAAAATTGACAAGCCTTTAGCTGGACCCATCAATAAAAAAGGAGGATTCACAATAGAAATGAAAGAGGAGATATTATAACTCATGCCAGAGAAATACAAGGGATCATATGAGATTACTATACGTCAAATCAATAAAGGTCATATGTGACAAGTTCACAGCTAACATCATACTCAATGGTAAAAACCTAAAAGCTTTTCCATTAAGATCAGGAACAAGACGTATTTGCCCACTCTTGCCATGTTTTATTCAACATGAGAGCAAGCAAACAAGAAAAAATAAATATAAGGCATTGAAATCAGAAAGGATGAGGTCAAATTGTCACTCTCTGTACATCACATGATATTATATTGAGAAAATCATAGACTACCAAAAAAACCTGTTATATTAAAGGAATTCAATAAAGTTGTAGGACACAAAATTAACATACAAAAATCTGTTCTATTTTTATACTGCAACAAACTATTGAAATAAAGGAAATAATCCCATTTACAACTGCATCAAAAAGAATAAGTGCCTCAGAATAAATTTAATTAAGGGGGTGAAAACCTGAACATTGAAAGCTAAAAGACACTGGTAAAAAAAATTGAAGAAGACACAAATAAAAGGGAAGATATCCCATGGACTGAAAGAATTACGATTACTAAAGTGTACATACTACTCAAAGCAATCTAAATATTCAATGCAATCCCTATCAAAATTCCAATGGCATTTTTAATAGAAACAGAGCAAACTATTCTAAATTTTATATGGAATCACAAAAGACCCCAAATAGTCAAAGCAATCTTAAGAAAGAACAACAAAGCTGGAGGCATTATGCCCTCTGATTTCAAACTCTAATACAAAGCTACAGTAATCAAAATATCATGGTATTCATATAAAAACATAGATCAATAGAATATGAACATATGCTCAGTATCTACTACGTGAATAAATGAACTACCTATTAGCAGATTCCATGCTTTTGAATCACATATCTTAGAAGAACATGGGACGCCTGGAGACATGGGGCAATGAAGACGGCAAAAAAGGAGTAGAGTAGGGCCTCCCCAGTGGCGCAGCAGTTGAGCACTGGGTTGTGAAGCTGCCCACAGCCTCTGCAGTGCTGGTTCGATCCCCAGCCACTGGGCAAGGGTCCCACATGGCGCGCAGACCTCTCCTGCCGCCTGCTGCTCCCCTCAGCAGTGTATTTCGTCTGTCTGCCTGTTCTGTTCCCCGCTCTGGTTCTGGTGAATTCTCTTACCCTCCCGCGCTTCTGACTGTACCCAGCGCTTGTATAAATAAATAAATAAATAAATCTTAAAAAAAAAAAAAGGAGTAGACGAGCTCTTCAAAACAGCCTTTCTACTTTACTACTGTGTGTAACAGGTACTAATTTTTTTTAATATTTTATTTTATATAATTCTTACATCATTTTTCATCTTTGCACAATGTATGCATTTTCATTGTGGTTATATTCCCCATACAATTGCACCCCCCCTTATTTTGACTCTAGTCCTTCTTCTCCCCGGCCCGTGGTGTGTCTCTGGTTTATAGTTGCTTATTGATTTTGATTTTTACTTTGTATTGATTAGTCTTTTTCCTGATCTCTTATTTAAGTTTTCTAAATTTCTGCTATGAGTGAGACCACCCGGTATTTTTCTTTCTGATTATTTCGCTAAGCATGATCCCTTCTAGCTCCATCCATGTTGCTGCAAACTGCATGTGTTTATCTTTTTTGATTGCTGAGTAATATTCCATTGTATATATGTACCACAACTTCTTGATCCAGTCATCTATTTTTGGGCATTTGGGTTGTTTCCATAGCTTAACTATTGTAAATAGTGCTGCTATAAAACATAGGGGTGCAGGTGCTCTTTGTAATTAATGTTTCTGTGTCATTTGGGTAAATACCTAGGAGTGGAATTGCTGGATCATATGGAAGCTCTATGTTTAGTAGGTCCAGAAATCTCCACACAGCTCTCCATAGTGGTTGGACCAGTTTGCACTCCCACCAGCAGTGCAGGAGAGTTCCTTTTTCTCCACAACCTGACCAACATTTGTTGTTGTTAGTTTTTTTAATATGTGCCATTCTCACTGGTATAAGATGGTATCTCCTTGTAGTTCTGATTTGCATTTCCCTGATAGCAAGTAATGTTGAACATTTTTTCATGTGCCTGTTGGCCATTTGTATTTCCTCTTCGGTGAAGTTTCTTTTTAGCTTTTCTGGGCTGCTACATGCTTGACTACTACCTCACACCATGCACAAAAACCAACTCAAAACGGATTAAAGAACTAGACATAAGACCTGAAACCATAAAATACATAGAAGGAAATATAGGCGAAACACTACACGACATGCACCTCAAAGACATCTTTACAGACACATCGCCCAAAGCAGTGATAGTGAAGGCAAAGATAAACAGCTGGGACTACATCAAATTAAAGAGCTTCTGCACAGCAAAAGAGACAATAACCAAAACAAAGAGAAACCCTACCAACTGGGAGAAAATTTTTGCACACAACACTGATGATAAAGGACTGATCACAAAAATCTACAAAGAGCTGATGAGACTCAACAAAAACAAAGAAAATAATCCAGTCCAAAAATGGACAGGTACTAATTTCTAACAGCAAGAAATTGGCTCAATCCTTTTTCATATCTCCCGCCCTTCCAGATAAGACACAGATACACTTATAGTAGTATGGGGTTTTTTTGGGGTGTGTGTGTGTTTGTTTCTGGTTGGCCTTTACATTTCTTCAGAACTAAATTCCTTACCATACTGACAACAAAGAGGATCACTACTTATATCCCTCATTAAAATTGTAGGTCTCATAGTCTTCTTAACCACAATGATTCTGGAGAAGTCACTTTATTTTTGTGGCTCAGCTTATCTATAAAATGAAATTTGTGGGTTTTTTTTTTTTTTTTTACTTAATAAGGTTCTTAGTAAAATAAAATGAAATAAAGGGTGTGAATATGCTTTGTTTACTGTATGACACTGTTACTATCCTCCATATATTTCCTTGTAATTAAGCAAGAGAGAGGTCTCATTACTCAGATTGTGAAGTTCACAGTCTATCTTTGAGGAATCGCATATTGACATTTATGAGCTCTTCCTAAATTCTTTCATCACTTCCTTTTAATCACTCTTAATTTTTTTTTTTTTTTTGCCTTCTTATACTTTCCTTCCTTGGAATGTATTTCATAATCTACACAGCATTCAGTCAGTCATTCCCAGTCACTCTCCATGACTCAGTTTTACCTATTTTGTTGGTTTGTCTCATATTTAAAAGCTTCATTTTTTTGCTAGATGGCCAGGGTCATGACAAAGAAAATTTTCAACATTCCGTGCAGTGGCCCATTTCTACCAAGTGTGAAGGCAGGGGACACAGGAATTGACTGACATATCACAATTGTGGTCTACCACTGGATGGACTAGGGCTTTTACTTCCGCTGGTACCACAAAAAAATAAAATTGATCCTTATAGATCGGGCATCTTTTTTTTTTTTTTTAAAGATTTATTTATTTATTTATTTACACAAGCACTGGGTACAGTCAGAAGCGCAGGAGGGTGAGAGAATTCACCAGAGCCAGAGCGGGGAACAGCACAGGCAGACTGACGAAATACACTGCTGAGGGGAGCAGCGGGCGGGGCAGGAGAGGTCTGTGCAACATGTGGGACCCTTGCTGGGGGCTGGGGATTGAACCAGCGCTGCAGAGGCTGTGCTCAACCACTGCGCCACCTAGGGAGGCCCTGGATGGGGCATCTTTTATACTTGGGAACTGAAACAAAATAATATGCGTCCAATAAATTATTTGTTGAATGAATTAGTAAATAATTAGATGGATAACTTCTCTTTTGAAACTCATTTTATTTCTTCACCTGTCATGACTTCAGGAAACTATCTGATATAAAAGGTATTAAGATTGCCTTAATTCCTCAAAGCAGACTTTGTGAATTTCAAAACCACTGAGCATTGAGAGCTCTCTTTTAATTAATAACAAGGAAAAATACATTTAATGAATGATGCCAATAACAGTATCTTACAGTAAATAAAGCATATTCCCATCTTTATTTAAAATACTTCTGTTCAGAGAGAAATATTAAGTCCCAAGTCTATACTTGAAATTAAAGAATGGAACTGAAAGTCAAACAAGTGTCATATGAGTTCATGGGTATAAGAAATTTCAAATATTGGGCCTCCCTGGTGGCACAAGGGGTTAAGTCTCAGCACTATGAAGCTATCAGCAACTACTGCAGCACAAGTTCAGCTCCCACCAGGGAGCTACCCACATGGTGCAGCAGACCTCTCCTGTCTCGCCCTCTGTTTCCCTCAGCAGTGTATTTCAGTTGATCTGCCTGTTCTGTTCCCCACTCTGTCTCTGGTGAATCCTCTCACCCCCCACACCTCTGGCCTGTACCCCAGCTCTTGCATGCAAAAATAAAATAAATCTTAAAAAAAAGAAGTTTCAAATATTGAGCAATTTTTTACTCATTTTAGTAGTTTCACAGGAATTATCTTTGTAGCTTATGGTTTATATCCCCTCTCCCCCATCCTTGTATTTTCTACTACTGATTCAACCAAGTTAGACTCCCAGAAATAAACATCTTATATAACCTTAGTTATGATCCAAGCTTCTCCAAACACAATCATTTTACAGGTGGGGAAAAAGGAAGTAGGACTAAGAATAAAGATATAATATGCTTAAGAATACAGATACATTGAACTATTTGACATGTGAACTGTGGGGAATTATTTTTCTTTTTCAAAAATCACCAACTACTCTTTAGAGATCCCTAGATGCCAAATAAAAATTCAGGTAAGACCAGCTTCTCATTGGTATCACTTTAAGACCTGGTCATCTGTGGCAAATGGCTATGTGGTAAAGGGTAAGGAGTTAGAGTTCTACACAGAAAAGATC